CTGGGCTCACATGCAGTCAGAAGACCATTGCTTTGCCCCCATAACCATCATACCCATACTGCACCAGTGAGCACGTATTCCCAGCAGGTCAGTATTGTAGTATGCAGGGTCCTGTGCTGAGTAAGAACACTGATATTGTTACACACACGCACATGCACACACGTGAGTGTGCATGCACGTGCATGTAACCTACACAGCACCTTCTGTTATTATGTAAAGTAGCCAGCAGGGAGCGTTTCCTGATGAGTCGGAGGTTGATTTCTCTCGGTCTGTCTTCTACAGTGAATGATGTCTTCAGCAGTATGGTCTTACCGTGTAGTTATGGTGGACAGCCAAGAGCAATCCTGTGTAGTTTTGAGGACTTTGAGGCCTTCCCGATGAAAACCTTGTAGAGAGGTAGCCCGTGTTTGGCCCTGAAATTTTCATTTAATAACCCATCTATTCTAAAAGCAGCATTGTCCACCCATGTAGGGTACTTGTGTTCAAACTCCTTTACCAAATGTATTAGGACCTGTCATGGATCCTGAGTTTTGGGTAACCCATCCCCTATACTCTTCTCTCCTCGAGCCCCCTTGCTCCGCTCATGGTGTTGCTTCAGTCTGCTTTCATGACACTTGCATTCTCTTATCTACACCAATCAGAATTTTTTTCTTGCATTATAAGATTGTAGGTTTTTAAATTTCCATTTTTTTAATGCACCCTTCATTTTGGTTGAGCCCTCGGCCCGTGCCTCATTCCCTCATCCTCCCCCTCCCCCTCCACACTTGGCCCTTTCCTTGAATCTCCCAGTGTTCCTGCTTTTTCTTTCATTTTATCTGTGTTTCCCTATTCTCTCCCTCTTGAAGCGTGCACTCCTATCTAGTGGTCTGCTTCTGGTTTCCTGGCTTCCACCAGCAGGTTAACCACACAAAACACGAAGATCCGAAGTTAGGATCCGCATATGAGAGAGAATATGTGCTTGTTGTCTTTGGCCTAGGTGAGCTCTCCCTCACCCCACGTTATTAGACAATGCGATTTTTAGATGTGGTCCTAGTCTGCTTTGTGTTGGTATAACTGAAAGATACAGAGAGGGTAATTTATAAAGAGTTAAGGTTTGCTCTGCTCACAGCTCTGAAGGCTGGAAGGCCAGCCTTGGAGGGCCATAATGAATGAGGCCTTTCTGCTGGTGGGGACTTTGCAGAACCCCAAGGCTATGCACGGGATCACACGGGATCTCTCTTCCTGGGAAAGCCACTAATCCCGTTATGGGGGCCCCATTCTCCTAACTTAAACTAATCTTAACTACTTTCAATATTATTATCATATGTCTTTGAGGGTTAGGTTTCAGCATGGGTTTGGGCGGGGATGAACACTCCAAAGGTAGGAAACATAGAAGATAATAGTGTTAGAAATGGCCCATCCTTGACTTAGTTAGAAGGGGATATGGGCAGACTCCTTAAGAATGTAGCTCATAAAGTCCTAAGGTGATTATTAAGACAGCCTATTTTGGGGGGTTTTATTTTGGGGTGTGGTGCTGGAGACTGAACCCAGACCCTCTGCATACTAAGCATTCATTCCACCTCTGAGCTATATCTCAGTTCTATAATAAAGTCGTAAGGGTTTCCCTCAGAAACACAATTACCCCTGCATTAAAATCCAGATTGAGTCAGACATAGCAAGATTTTCACAGCGGTGCAATTTATTTCACTTGGGAACTGTGTCGTTACAAGAGCAGCTTCGCCGTCTCGTCTTTCGATGATGTAAAGTAATATTTGCCTGTTTTGATGAAGAAGGGTAAAAATGTTCTCCAACTTTCAATTGCATCCCTGAGAGTATCTGAGGGCATTTATAGAGTTTCTCATGTACACACGTCTTTGTGATCAACATTTCACAGAAAATGCCCCTACGGAAAAAGGTTCTGGCTTTAGCCTGGGCCACAATTCTTTCTGTGATCCAATCTGTGAGCCAAGTTTCCAGGTCACCCTGTCACAGCCAGCCCACGTCCGGTGGATCAGTCAATCACAGGCCAGTCTCACCCACATCCCTTGTTCTCTTAGGAGGAGGAATGGAAAAGCAAGTGATGCTTATTGATGCTGATGTGTCCCTAGCAGAACAACTGGAGCAAAAGGGACCAGACTTGCCTCGAGGGCAGGGGCATGGCCTCTGAGCAATACCTGAGCAGAGAGATGTAGTGTTCTGTGGGACTGGTCTTCCCATTCACCTGGGTGCCCTCATGTTGTCCAGAGTCCTGAAGAAATAGACCAGACTTTTGAGCCAGACCAACCAAAAGCTGATTCTGAGTTCTGCCACTTTCCAGTTGTGCCATCTTGGGCAAGGTACCCAGCCCTTCTGAACCTCTAGCTCTCCCCACGTGTCAAAGAGAATAATCATTACAGGTTTACATCAGATAGCACTTGGGAGGGACTCTGAATAGTATCGAGCAAATGGAAGATGTTCATGAATGCTGTTGCTAAATACTGCTTGTAGCAGGGCTTTCCTGCTCAGCTTTGTCTGTGGTGCCTGATGGAGGCTGGTCTCTACTAGATATTCCATTCCCGTGTGAATGCCCAGAGCTAGGGCGGAACTAGAAGAGATAGCACAGGCTCAAGCAAGGGCTTGGGGTTCTGTGACTCCACATGGGTCGTGGTGCTGGGGGCCACTGCAGAACCATGTGGCTGGGTTTCAGCAGCCACACTCTTCAGACTTTCCTACTCAGAGTGGCCAACCTTTTGCCGCTGCCATACAGTGTGGTCGCAGACAGAAATCAGGGCTGGGAACTACGCAGTTGAGTTACAGGAAAAAAAAATTCCAAAAAGAAATCTGATAATATGTTAAGCATGTTTCCAGCTTTGTGCTGGGTTGGATCCCTAGCTACCCTGAAGCATGTGCAGCCCGTGTGCTGTGAGTTGGACGCTCCCGGGAGTGGGATGGCTGAAAGGTTCCTTCACATCCCAGGTGTCCTGACCCCGCAGTTGTCATCCTTATGAGCACCTGGAGGTACAAATGGCCACTCCTTTCTGAAATGGCTCCTGGTTTCTGAATCATAAATTGTAACACCTCTGTGGGCCAAGCTGACGAGGTCATGGCCTGGTGAGCAGGCCCTGGGCCCCGTGGCCAGCTGGAAAGCATGAGCTGGCCATAGTTGACACAGGACTTGGAATACTGAGCCATCTAGTCTTCCTAGAGGAGCTGAAAATTGGGGCTTATGAGGAAAATATCTTGATTGTTAAATGCTGGGAAAGTGTTCAGACTTTCTAGAAGCTCCAAAGGGCCAAACAAAATATGCACGCAGGCCAGAGAAGCTGCTGCTTGGAGGCCTTGCCTCAGGCGGTATTTCACTGAGGAATGGTTCTAGCGGCCCAGGACATTTGGCAATGTTTAGAAACGTTTGTTGTGGTCACAACTTCAGGCTAAAGGTAGGGAGTTTTCCTAGGAAGAGGCAGGCAGACTCCCCATCGTCCTGTTATCCATCCATAGGAATGTGTCCCAGACAAAGAGCTGGTTGTCCTAAGGAAATTTAGCCGGGATTAGCTTTTGAGGAGAAAGAGGCTGGGGACACCTGCTTCATGGTGGCTGGCCCTTGTGACTGGCTAGCCTCAGTTTACTGCTGGTTTGTCAGAAAGGCAAGACTGGGATGGTTGAGCTTTCTCTGGCCCAGCTTTGCATGTGAAAGAAGTGCCTTCTACCCAATGTCCTTTGTAGGCATGAAAACAATGCAAAAAAATGTGGGGAGTGAGGCCCAATTTGTTGTCACTGGAGCCCCCAAGGTTTGGGTGTGGCGGCCTATTGAAGATCATCTTGGTTTTGGCCTCCTGTCCGTGGTGGAATGTTTGGTTTGGGCTCACTACTCAGTAGTATTTGGAACTGTAATTGGGAATATTTTCCTTCCCTAACCAACTCCAGCTTTAAAAAAAAAAATAACAAAAATAAAGATGCTCTGAAGGCTGCCTGCCAAGCATCAACTTTGTGGCTGCTCCGGGGAGGTGCCCAGGAGTTGACCAACTGAGACCTAGTAAGTCCCATGTGGTGGCCTACAGTTCTCTTGAGGAAATGCAAGAGCATGCCTCCAGTCCCACCCCATCCCCCACCCCACAGTTCATGCTCTATACACATGTTCCTCTTCCTGAGGTATGACCCTGAGCATCCTATTCTACGACTCAAAAGCCTTCAGTGGTTCCCAGTTTCTGGCTTCTGAATGAAGTCAGAGCCTTCTCAGCCTCCATGATATGACCCTGGCCTAGGCAGAAAAGGCAGTGTTGGAGCCCTGGGTCTAGAGTGAGGATGTCGTATTCTAGGAACTGGTGATGGAAGACAAGTTTGTGTGTATTAGGATGCTCTAGCTACAGCAGGAGGAGAGCGTAACTCAACATGTCTTAAACCAAAGAAGTAGATGGAGACTAGAGGCTGACGCTGAGTTTTGGGACCAGTCAGTGCTCAGAGAGCAATGATAGGAACCAGGTTCCTTTCACTCTGTCTGTCTAAGGCAGTATCCTCTTTCAGTCTTTACATGCCTGCTAGTATCAACTGGGGCTACACGGAGTTTTGCTTGCACTTGGTAGAAGGGTTCAAACATTCTCCTACAGCTGCAGATCCTGCTTCCCTGACTAGTTAAGTCAGCCCAGAACCATATCAGCACAAAGAGCAACCCACCATGTGGAATTAGGATGACGTTCCCTGGGAGAACTGGGCTGGAGGGACACATGCAGACCAAGTGTGTGGTTCTATGAGGGAGTAGAAAGAACAGAGATGGGCGATGGGAGGGAACACCCAATTCTTGCTGCAAAGTATAAAAGGTTGGGCAGTTGGAAAGTAGGACATAGTGATAGATTGACCTGAGGAGAAGGGATGATAAGAAAGTCTACCAGGTAACTCTAAAGGTTTATCTTGACAGCCTTGGAAGATGTTATCCCCTACTTCAGAATCAAAGGGCTGGAAGTATGTGTCTTACTTTTGGGCAATTTGACTTTAAAGGGACAACCAGACCATTTCCGTGTGCTGACATTTGTTCTTTCATATTTCAGAGCAAAGAGATTGGCCTGCAGATGCATGAGGAGCTACTGAAGGTGACTAATGAGCTCTACACAGTAAGTTCTGTCCAGGACCATTGCTATCTGTTTGGGTCTCTGGTCTTCATCACCCATAGCCGGAGGGAGGGAGGCAGAATTTGGAGTGACAGCAGGTCACCATGAAGGTATGTTGTGACTCATGATCCAAACTCCTGATTACTTGTGTTTGGAATGGGTCCTGAACATGTTTAGCAAGTTAAAGTGTGTGAGAGAGTAACACGATCTTCCAGATATAGGATGTGTTACTCATGAGCACAAAAGTCCAGAGGTAGAGGATGAAAAACACAGCATGAAGTCTCCAGAGGGCAGGGATATGGACTTGGGTGTCAGGGCCACAGGCTCCAGGCTCAATGGCTGTGATCTCAGGCAGGCTCATAGCTGCCTGAATGGAACATAGCTCCATAAAATGGAACCCGGCTCTGAGGATAGCTTGAAGTAAAATAGTGAGCATGCCTGATTTTTACCAGTGGAGAACATCACACTTGAGCCCAGAGCTGACTTTGCTGCCTGCTTTGAAACCAAGGCCAACCACATTTATGATGGGTGTTAGATCTCAGGGAGGTAGGTAGTGGAAGGCAAGAATAGACTTTGGCTTCCTTAGTGAGGAGTGTGGAGAGCCGCATAGATAGCCTTTGGTACAGTGTAGGGTAGGCCCAAGAGGGAAAGTGCTGGGTAGAACTGTTATGTTTATACGTTCAGGGGTTCCTTATGAAAGTCGTGATTTAATATGTGAATAACTGCAGACTTTGTGAAGCTCTTTCTCTTCGTTATTACTATCTTCCTGTATGTACCCATGGTGGTAGCAATGGGCTCATCAGGGGCTAAAAACCTGGGCTCAGGGCCTGTACTTCAGGTGGAAGGCCCCATGTTGACCTCAGCAGCTCTAGGACCTAGGATAAGACATTTTTTTAAAACTGATGTCAAATAGAGAGAGTGTGTTCCAAATTTGTTTCAAAATAGATAGATAGATAGATAGATAGATAGATAGATAGATAGATAGATAGATAGATAGATGGGTGGGTGGGTGGATGGATAGACAGATAAACAGACAGACCTGTGATTCCCATCTACTTAGAAAGCTGAGGCAGGAGGATTATAAGTTAGAGGCCTTCCCAGGCTAAAGAGTATGGGCAAAGCCTAGACAACTTAGTAAGAAAGACCTTATCCTGTAATCTATAATATATAATAATATATATGCCCTATAATATATAAAATATAATAATAAAAAAGTAAAGATAGGCCTGGGTGTGTAGCTCAGCATTAGAGCTTTTACCCAGCATGTTCAGGGCCCTAGGTTCACCATAATACCACAGAGAAAAGAGGTAAAGAGAAGGCAGACACTCTGAAGTCAGAATCTGGGTCAAATCTTATTTCCAGCTGGAAAGAACAGTGAAATCCTCCCACAGTCTTTGTAGCCTTATAGACACAGGAGCTCTGCAGATGCTCAGGTCTCTGTTTAAAGTGGTGTCATGCCACACATCCTCCCAGGTACTTTAAGCCATTCCTAAACTGCCTACTACTGTAAATACAGCATCGGCGCCATGCAGACAATTGTTACGCTGTGTTGTTTAGTGATGAGAAAAGGTCTGTTCATGCTTGGTATAGATAAAATTTTCTTCCCTAAATATTTTCAACCTGCTGTTGGTTGACTCCACAGATGTGGCGAGCACAGCTATAGAGGACCAAGTGCACTGAGGGTGCACACATAAAAAGCACTGTTAGCGCAGAGGGTAATGTGCTAGAGAGCCATTCATCATGACTGTCATTATTCTGTTACCTTCAACGGGTGTGGTAGGCTGTTGTCTGTACTCACGGGAGTGGGGTCAGTGCATGTGTAGGGTTGGTGAATGAATGGATTGTGTAGCTCAGAATTCTGGAGAGGATAGCCCCACGCTGGTCATTACCCAGGCTAGGTCCTTCCTCTGCTCCTTCAGGCCCTCTGTGAATAGAGCACTTACTCTACAGCAGCCCTGCAGCATAGCTCCAGGCACAGAACCTCAGTGGGCCTGCCTGGGTCTCTAACCTTCCCTCCATCTGCCAGCTGGAAACCTCATTCTGGCTAGCTGTTCTTGTTCACTTTCTGTCACTGTAATAAAACAACTTGACCAAAAACAACTCAGGGAGAAATGGGTTTACTTGGCTTCTACTTCCAGGTCACAATCTGTGATTAGGGGAGGTCAGGGTGGAAACTCAAGGTAGGAGCTTGAAATGGAAACTGTGGAGAACCTCTGTCTACTGCCTTGTTCTCCAGATCACTTGCTTTCTCATACAGCCCAGGCCCACGTGCCTAGGGAATAGCGCTGCCTACAGTGGGCTGGGCCCTCCCACATCAACCACCAAGCAAGACACTCTCACAGACAAACCCAGATGCCAGTCTAACCAAGGCTGTTCTTCAAGCAAGGTTCCCTCTTCCCAGGTGACTCTAGGTTATGGTCAGCTGACAATAAAAACTAACCAGGAGAGCTGTTTATCCTCATCCCCAACACCTTTCTTTACCACCACAGTCTCCCTCGCCTGCTGTAGCCTGTGTGCTTTTACCCTCTGAGTCCTGTTTCAGTCTTATAAAAACCTCATGTCTTCATTGTTTGCACTGCTCCCGTCATAGAGTCATTTCTCTGGAGTCAGGTCTTGGCTGATGGGTGATACCGCACTAGATACCCAGAGACCGTGTGGCATTGACAACGTTACTTCACCTCTCAGCTTTGTCTCAGAAAACAGGGGCTTATCCTTTTCCTCTGGTTTGTGGGTTCCATAGTACCAGGTGATGTCAAAGATTGAAAGGATAATACCATCTCGTGTCCCTCACAGTGCCCTGAACTCAACAAGCTCTGTGTATCTAGCTGCCCATTCTGTCCACAGGTTAGGCAGCTGGGCAGAAACACTACTGGCAGCAGACGTGCACATAGGTAGCTGCCTCACACTGTAACAAGCCTCTTTCTGCCGTGCTGTGCTCATGGTGGCCTGCTCGTGGTACTCCAGGAGCAGGGAGAGGGGAAGGGTCCAGTGCCTCCCAGCTCTCTCTTCTTTTGGTGTGTGTGAAGGAGAGGGGGCCTCAGGTACCAACAGTAAATATTCCATATTGCCCACTGCGGCCCTCTGTGTCCATAGGTCCCCCATCAGTGACCCTGAAATACCTCCAAAAGCTCATTTGCTAAAGACTTGATGCACCAATGCAGCTTTATTTGATGACAATATTGGGAGAGAGGAAAGCTGGGGACTGATATGCAGGAAGTAGGTCACTGAGAATATGTTTTTAAAAGGTGTCTTGTCCCTGAACCCTTCATGTCTCACTGCTTCCTGGTTGCTAGGAGGTGAGCCACTCCGGTTTGGCCACATTCTTGATTCACGATGCTCTGTGTCACCACGAGCTTACAGTAGAGGAATCAGCTGAGCATGAACTGGAAACTCTGAAACCGTGGACCAAAACTAATCTTTCCTCCTTTAATTTCTCTCAATCATTGCCACGGTGACAAAAAGCCAAGTTCAACCAACCTTGGGTCAAAAATGGTTTTTTAAATACTGTGTGTTACTAAACACACGAGGATATCTTGTTCTTCTCTAAGCATCACAACACAGTTCAATGCCCATTTATACAATGAAACATTGTTAGGGGGGCTGGAGAGATGGCTCAGTGGTTGAGAGCATTGCCTGCTCTTCCAAAGGTCCTGAGTTCAATTCCCAGCAACCACATGGTGGCTCACAACCATCTGTAAAGAGGTCTGGTGCCCTCTTCTGGCTTTCAGGCATACAGACAGAATATTGTATACATCATAAATAAATAAATATTAAAAAAAAGAAACGTTAGGTACTTTGAGGACTCTCGAGATGATCTGAAAGTAGGGAGAGGGGTGTGTAGGTTCTTTACAATCACTGCACCGTTCATATAAGGGATCTGAACATCCATGGAGTTTAATATCTGGATCTGTGTGAAGGGGTATCCTGAAACCATCACCACAGGTACTGAAGGATGACCACAGTTACTTAGAAGTTTAATTCCTAAATTCAGGGTTTCCCGCTGTGGTACCGGAGAATCTTTGCTGTCCGGGAACTGGGAACATTTTAGAGTTGGTCTCTATCAGCCCCTTTCCCATCCTTCATGCTCCCGTGGCTCTGACTGGAACAAAGGGATGAGGAAGTGGTGTGTAGACAGTGAAGGTAAAGGGTTTTTGCCTCAAGGAGTGTTAGATTTGAGCGCACAGACAAGGATAAAGTGCATGTGTGCTGGTGACAGAACATGAAGCCGAATGTGCTGCTTGCTCAACTACTTCTCTTAAAAATTGCTTCCAAACTCAACAGCTTCAAACCTACCGTGTTGCTTGCTTGTGAGTCTCTGGGTTGATGATTTGTGCTGGGTTCAATTATAGCCAGTCATGTGGTGGCGGTCTTCCGGATGCTTAAGATAAAGGAACCCAAAGAGAGTGGACAAATTTCTGCTAGTAACCGTTTTTGCTAATATTCAAAGCAAGTTACATTTAGGCCCCAGGTCAGGAGATAGAAAAATACACTCCCTGTTTTTCTGTAGCCCCGGTGCTAAAGCCATGCCTGAGCAACGTCTAGCTGTCAGTCACAGCTACCCAGCTCCTGGGAGCATTACGGACTTCCTGGACTTCACTGCTAGAAGTTTCTTCTTAATATCCGGGTAACACACATCTTCCCAGCTCCCTTTGTTCCCCAGCCCTAGTCTCACAGGCATAGTAACTAAGGAATGAATGCGGTAGAGAAGAACTATGCAGTCAGCCCCATTCTTTTCCCTCTCAATGCTCAGTGGAAGTTGTCTGCTTAGGGGCCCTGCCGAGGGCGGTGATGATGGCGATCAATTCTACCCTCGGTCTGTCAAGCCCTTCTCTTCTCCGAGCTCCCATCAGCCCCCCACATTATAGTCTTTGATCACATATTGACTCGAAAGGAAAGAACACAGGGTGAGATTGTAGACCATGGCGCTGTCCTTCCAAGGAAACAAAAACAAACCAAAACAACAACCGTCAGCTAAAATTATGTTTAGGGTTTCACTGTATTTC